CCCCCCCCCCCCCCCGCTTCTTTTCCTTGTTATTTCTTCTTTAATCTCCTTTCTTTTGACTATGTGTCAGGACTATTGGTGCTGCCTCAGTACATTGGCTTAAAAAACAAACAAATACGAAAACAAAACAAAATAGCAAAAACAGCAACAAAACCCGCTATCCTCTTCACAAATTTGCACAGACCTTATTAAAAAATTAAGACCTCAAGACTTTGGCCACAATAAGTTAAAATCAGAGTAAACATATTACTCACACTAAAGGAAAAGCAATGAAGATTAGTCAAGATGAATCAACAAAGAAAAATAAAAGGAAAACCACTTCTATAACTGCATTTTCTCATATTTGACCTTAGACTGTGTATATAAATATATAAGCTTATCTGGTTTAGCTTTGGTATGAAGGCTTATTTTCTTATTAGATAAATCAGAATTTAGTTTTATAGTCACAGTTCCTAGTACATAGGCAATGCTTAATAAAAATTGCTGAAAGAATGAGGCATGTTATTCAATGGGGCTTACTGTGTCTCAAATTTAGTAAAACCCAAGATATGTTTTATTGAATTCATTAATCATTAATTATTAGGGCAAATTTGAATCCATAAAGAAGGGTAGTGTGCAGAAAGGTGAGGGAATTTATGAGAGAAAAAACTGGCTAAGATAAATGCTGTCTGTACTGTGACTATAAGATGCATATGCTGGAAATAACTTGGGATCAATCATATTCTATTGCTATTCATTTTTAACTATAAGCTAATGTTAATTGTAAAATTACTTGCCGTGACATCGTATGATTCTCCATTTCTAGATACTCTGCTGTGGCTTTGTATTATTCCTTGAACAATTAATTCCTGCAGGATGTCTGATGACTTTTGTCGCTCTCGATTCTCTAGGGGTTGTGGTTTATGGATTAATCCATTGGTTGTTAAGTCTTCCAAGCGGGAAAAAAAAAAGCAAAATTTAAGCTTGAAGAGATTATCAATCAAATGCTAAATGAATGCCATACAAGTCATGCTACTTAATTAAATCTTACACTCAACCCTCCTAGCTAAATATCTGTTTGTATTCTAAATCCTTGAATCCTTTGAAGTTCAAATTCTTACTGCTCTAACAGAGGATACACATCAACACAATATACTGTTTACTGAGCAGACCCCATATTAACATAACAAAAAGTCTTTCATGTGCTGCTCTGTACTAGCTTTTTGTTGTAACAACACTTGTACACTTGGGTACAGCTCCATGGGTCCGCTGCACTAATTACGAAGCTAAGCCACAGCTAAGAGTGAGAAGTTCTTTGGGTGACTCTTCTGAGCTGCAGTTGGTTTCTATGCTTTGTATACAAAAGGATAAACAGCATGATGTCGCCAAGAGACTTCTAGTTCTGCAACTCTGAGTTTACAATGACACCATCTGCTAAGTCTCCATAAGTAAAAATATGCCTTTTTGAGAAGAGTCTTTGAACTTGATCAGAATTGGAGTCAAGTGGTATCAGCTAAATTTTTATTAGTAATTCTAAAAGTGGCACTGAAACACTTTATAGGGGAGCTTTTATAAACTGTGTGGAGACAACCCCCATCACAAATCACTCAATTATAGAAATAAACAAGCAAGCATCCATTTTTACAACTTCACATTGTAAAACAAAGATGCCAAGGGGAGTCTGCAGAAATGAGCTATCTTCTATTTTGTAACCATCAGGAAGTCTGGATAGTAACCAAGTCCATTCATCTAGTGGGTGGAGTCCTTTCATAAAAATGTATAACCTGGGACTATATGAAGTACTTTCTATGTTTTATAACATCTAAATCAGACATAAACTCTGTAGGACAGATATTATAAACTCTATTTTATAAAAAAAAAAAACCTGATACGAGAGAGGCTAATTAATTTGCTCAAGGTGACAAGGGTAGTAAGTAAATGAACTAGGATTTAAACTCAAGTCTGTTTGATTTCATCAGTCATGTTCTTCACCACCTCATTGTACTCTCCCCAAGCATGCCAAGTACACGGGCTATCATTTGTCATGAATAAAAAGAGAATAAAAAATAAAAAAGATAATAAAAATGTCCATTCTCTTATCATTCAGAGGTTACCATTGTTAATATGTAAAATGTTAGTTTTAGTAATGTGCCATCACACATTGTGTTTCCTATTCAGTGGAACATTTACATTAGCATTTTCTCTGGCCACTAGAAATTCTTCATAAGCATAAGTATAAAAAGTGAAGTCATACAAGAAAACATGGGTGAGTTTGTTTTTGACCTTGTTGTAGGGAATGGCTTTCTAACCGACTCAAAAACCAGATTCAATAAAAGAAAAGACTGATGAATTTTACTACATTAAAAAATTTTGCAAGGCCCCCCAAAACACAACCCCCAATAAAAGTCAAATATAGATCTTGCATACCTCCTGATTGATGTACTAAGCAGGATACAATATAATTTTTGATATTCTTGCTAAAAGTGCATAACTCAGACCTAATCATGAGGAAATATATAAGACAAACCCAAACCGAGGACATTCTACAAAATAAATGGCCTCTATCTCCAAATATATCAGGGTTATAAAGGACAAAGAAAAGCTGAGGGATCGTTCCAGATTAAAGGAGACTAAAACCACATGACAACTAAATTAAACATGTGATTCTGAATTAGCTCTGACACTTATAAAGGAGGTTTGTAAGACAATTGACACATCTGAATATAGGCTGCAGATAAGATAGCAGTGCTGTGTCAATGGCAGTTTCCTGACGCAGATTCTTGTACTGGGATTTTGCAAAGAACGTCCTTGTTTTCAGGAAATACTTGTTGATGCATTTAGGAGTAAATTATCTCTATGTCTGTAACTTACCCTCAGAAAGAATATACTTGTATATGAGATGGGGAGAGAGGGAAGGAGGAACGGAGGCGGGAGGGGACCATGAAAATGCAAATGTGGTACAATGTTGACATTTGTGGAATCTGGATGAAAGAATATAGGCATTCTTTGTTATCTGCAACTTTTCCTCAATCTGAAAGTATTCAAAATAACATTTTTTTTCTTTTTTTCCCCCATGGGAAATACTTGGGAAATGTTAGTGTGAAACTTGAAATTTTTGCCCCAGCAGGTTGCTCAGTGGTTAGAGCATCTGACCACACACCAAAGGCTGGATGGTTCCTGGTCAAGGGCACTACGTCAGTTGCAGGTTTGATCCCCCCAGTTGGAGCTCATGTAGGACGCAACCAATCGTTCTCTCTCTCTCTCCCTCCTTCCCTTCCACTCTCTAAAAATCAATAGAAAAAAAATCTTTGGGTGAGGATTTAAAATTTTTTTTTTAAAGAAATTTTTAACAAATACACCCTGTAGATATGAAGAGCAGGGATGCAGAGAGCAGAGGGGTGTGTGTGGGGGGGGGGCGGAGGGAGGATTGGGTAGAGAAAGAATATAAAGCTCAGGGCACTAATTCCTACTCATTCTGTGGTAAGAGCTTTCTTGAGGCCTAATTTACGCTGCGGTGTGGAAACATCTGCTTTGGTAGTTCACTCCCTCCCCACGTTGGTCCCTGCTCACCTGTGGTCCTCCCGATCCTGCTTTCAACAGTGTAGGGCTGGCAGGCTAACTATTCGAGGCCACACCCAGCTTCCTGTCCACCTGTCAATCTCTAGTCTGTTAACACCATAAATACTGAGCATCCATGTTGCAGTGTAGGAGGGATTCCCAGCAACAGAATTTTCAGAGAGAAAAAAAATATGTT